GGTTTAATTGGATTTATATTAACCGGAAATGGATTTTCAGCCTACCATTATTATAGTCGTACCATATTTTTCTTGGCACAAATCTTTATCTTATTTGACGAGATACAAATGTTTTTGCACTGACCCATAATAATTTAACAAATATTTATATTTTGAAAATAGTTTAATTAGATATCATTAATTATTATATTTATTATATAATAAGCTTACTTTTTTTATATAATTTTAAAACTAATGTTATCTGATTATAGATTTCAATATAATAGAGTAGATCAAGATAGAAAAAGCTAGTAAATATATTAGTGTGATATCTCTTATTTAAATATATGATTAGCTTATATCTAAGATTACTTGTCTAAACTTATTTTTGATTTGGCTAATTATCTAAATCTTTAGTTTTGTTAAATTTTACTAAGTATTTGATATAATTTTGCTATTTATATAAGCTTGATATAGTTTTATCTTTTCTGAATTTCACAGATTTTTTAATAAAATTTTAATATAATTTAATTAAGTTTTACCTTTATTATTTAGAAGTCTAATTAAATTCTAAAATTTGTTCAGCACTTTAATTATATCAATTTAAAAAAAATTTAGTATTTTTTTAAAATTAATACTAAACTTTATATATATTACTTACTTTATTTTATCATTTTTTGAAGATTATCATATTTTTTAAATGTTAAATTTATTTATGATTTAATTAGAATATGATTTAAAATATAAGATTTAAGATCTTATTTGTATAATTAATTTTTCTATATAATCAATACTTTTTTAGCAAATATGAACTCTTGAATAAATCTAGTTAAATAAAAGAATTTGTTTTAAATATAAGGTTAAACTCTTTAATAAATGTAGTATTTCAAATTTGAATATTTTTTATCTACTTATTTTTTATAATAATATCTAGAGTTCTATTATATTTGATTACTAGTTGAGTATCCTTTTATTTAAATAGAAATTTGATTATAGCTAGATTTATAAGATGCAATAGCTTAGGATCTTCTGATTAATTTTGATAATTCTAAAATTTATTAAAGAGTTTATATGTATATTATTAATATTAATAGTAAATATAATATATTTTAACTAAAAGTTAAAAAAATTATGAAATAATATTAAATAAATTTATTTATAATTATAATAAAATCAATCACAAATAATATACTGTAAGGTTTACTAAATATGTGACTGTGTAACGAAAAGCCACACCCCCTTATAATCACTCTTTACGATAGGTCCCGATGCCTGTAACTATAAGGGGTAACGACTATATAAGGTTTGCAACAGAAAGTCAAAGTCGGTGACATGTTTGTTTTGCAATTTTAAAAAATTATTATTTATATATTTATACGAACAAGCTGACAATTTTTTATTTTCCTATAATTTTTGTAAATTTATATATTTTTTAAGACTTTATGCCTGGTTAAATACTTTATTAGCCGAATAACAGAAAGAACTTATTACGGAATTCGTGGAGCCCTTCAGGTAAGAAGAGAATGAGATTTTGCCGAAAAAAAAAATATGCTCGAATAATTTCAAAAATAATTTAATATAGAACTCACTTTCGTTCATAATGTAAAGAGATTAACCTATCTAATTTTTAACGTATCCTGACAATCGACCTTCCAGGAAATCAACATTGAAAGAACAATTACAATATCTCATGAAGAGTCTGGAGTTCTTGGCCGAGGTCATGATGAAAAATATAGATTAACAGTGAATATAAATACTAGAAAGACGCAACAATACACTCATCATCTTATTTGTTGAAATTGATAACCAAGAGAACCGACAATATATATTGCAAGTGATATAATCTTTATCACGGAGGTTGACTATGGAATGGTTTTCTTAGATTGTTATGGGTGCGTCTTCCCGTAGAAGATATGTATGTGTCAATTCTAGTGAAAGGAAAAGACCTAGAATGGTTCATTGAGAATGAAATTGTATACGAATTTATCATTTCAAATGTATGTATACAAAATGTTATTGCAACATGTACTTTAATTGCTAATATTTTTATTTTTTCTTGCACTACTACTATATAACAAAAGGAAAAACCACACTATCAAATATGGATATTTGGAATTGTGTATAAAATTTCTCATAGTAATAAATCTATGTATTTTTTTTTAATAAAATCTTTTATAGTTGGTGTCGTGTCGTGTAAAGTTACTAGTGATGGAATATAGGCGTGATCAACGAATTAAATTTCGTATCACATAAATCTAAAAAACATGACGCGCAATAATCTTATCAATTCCGGCAGTTTTATTACCCGAAGATAATCAGAGAATGTCGAATTACACCTGTTCTAATGAAACAACCATTCTTTTTCAAGTTCTTTCATGATATAAAATAAAAATCGCGTAATTTTTATCACTGTAATACAAATCACGTGATCGTGAAATTTTGGTATTACCCCCCCTTCTAATAAATGATTATTAGGTAACATATTGTATGTTTAGTTACCCTATTTTGATTTCACAAAAAGAGTTCATAATTTTCAGAGTCAGAAAATCTCACATATCCTTCAAATTTTATAAAGTAAAGGGAAAATTCAGGAGGAACCATAAATGAGAGGCAAAGTTTGTCGATAAATCAATCAAAAATTTTTTTTCCGGAATTTTAAAGGATAAAGTTCTTGTATTATTTAAAGATTTAAAGGGAATACTTATTTATGTAAGAATCATAAGATACAATTGTTTTCATCCTACTAAGCTATTTTGGTCTAATTATCAAACACTGTGAAAATAACATTTAAACGGCAGCCCCCGCACAATTCCCATAAAAACAATCAAAAAAAAAAAAAAAAATGAACGGACAGAATTCTATTGATGAACTCGAAGCGTATTTGGCAAAATTAAGTATAAAATGTAATTATGGATATATAATTAACTCTGACTCAGAAGAAGAAAGTTCATCTACCTCCAGTCAAGATCCTATTTGGACCGATGACTCTTCTAGTGATTCTGATTCTTCAACCGTTAAAGTTTATCGAAAAATGAATAATACCGAGGCAGAAGAATCGTTGAATGTTCAAGGTCTGGTCCCCGCAAGATATGGGGCACACCCAACCAAATATATTACTGAAGACCGCACTAAAGGAATAGAATTTGTTAATGGCATAGCAAATGAAGAAGACGAACATTGTTTGTTACGATTCCGACTTCCAACTAGAAAATATAAAAAATATCGTAGGAATCTTGTTCATCAGAAAGGATCCAAAAGATTTAGTAATGATATTTGGCATCGCGAGACAATGCCTGATCGTATCGGAGACATCGGAGGAATAGGCGATTCTCCACCAATTAACTTACCAGTTAACGTGGGTGTAAAACACATCGAAGAATTCAACTCAATGGTCCAAGAGGTAAAAGTACTAAGACCAAGAGACGATTAAAAAAAATCATATTCCGTCAGGAGCAAGTGCTTTTGTTTCCAAATCTATCTATATTATTTTCCAATTATAGAAATAATGTAAATCATTTCCAAATTATACATCATATTTTCTTATATTTTTTTCAAATTAGTCACTTAAGCACATAGATTAATTTCCGAGGACAGTTTTGTAAATTCCGGTTTTTTTTCTAATGTATATAAATCATGAATTTTATTTTTTTTATTTTTTTTTTATTATTGAAGACATTTATTTGCTATTATTTCTTTGGGAATAAATTTATAATCAAATACTTCAAATTGAATAATAATTAAATTATTAAGATTATTACAAATAGAAATTTACTAAATTATGATTTTATTCTAGACCAAATAAAATAACGAATATTGAAGATATTATTTAAATAATCATCACTTGGATTAATCAATCGGAAGGACAAATTATAAATTCCGATCGCACGTTTATGGGTCAATGAAGGATCCTAATGGTAATGCGGTAATGACTTACGTTTCCTTACAAACCTTTTATCTTATTATTATTTTTTCACGTTTAAGAATGGTCATGTTCATTTACTGTTCTTTTCCGAAGTGGATATGTTTGTAATGACTTAACGTTTCTTATAAACCGTTTATCTTGTTCATTCTCACGTTTATTAGAATGGTCATTTTCTTTTATTGTCCTTTTCCGAAGTGGATTTGTTTGTAATGGAACAGTATATAATGGATTTGAATTGGTTTCGCGCTTTTCTTGAGAATTATGTTTTGACTGAGGTGCTAATTAATTATCAAACCGTAAAATTAGAGGATTAATTAAATTAAGAATTCAGTGGAAAGTTAGATTAAACACAATTGGCTTACAAATGTCTTCATTTGCATTCTCTAAATTAATTGTCGAAACGGTTTGAATGTAAAGTATAACCAAACAGAAAATACGATTGATTTTCATTCTTACAGTCATTTATTTTGCATAAAAAAAATAAAAGCTTTTTTGTTTTAAATTTGAAAATCAAATATATATATTTATGATGAATGAGGCTGAACAAGGTTCTGTGGCTCAGAAACAAAAAATTATTTCTTTGATAATAATACGTGTTAAATAATTTTTTGGGGGAGGTAGATAAATCATCCAAGATTTGAATTCTTTTGATTTTATTATTCGATCACAATTAGTTAAAAGCGTTTAAAGAATCAATTGGTTACTCAAGAAATGAAAATTATTCTAGCTTCATAAAACTAGTATGAAGCACAAAAGCAGAAATGGATGAATTGTTTATTTATAACATTTCCTAAAAAAATTTAAATTAATAAATATAAATTTATTAAAAAAACGTTTCAATTAAAAAAGCAAACAAACAACTTTTAATATCAATTTTATTGCAAATCAAAGATTTAAAAATTTTTGAGGAAAGATTACTAAGTAATGGACTTTTATAAAATTTTCTGTCTAAAGGAAATTAATTACAAGATAAAAAAGGGAAAGGGAAAGGAAAAATGGAAAAGGGAAAAGGGAAAAGGGAAAAGGGAAAAGGGAATCCTATATACAAGTTATTAAAAAAAATGAATAAGTTAAACATTTGATTATTTTTATATTTGTAATGTTCGTATCATTTTTGCTATGTTTTTGGTAGCTGTATTCGCTTGAACTGATCGTTCTGTTGGTCCCGTTAGTAATCCTTCTTATGATCATAACTTTTTACATAAGGGTTATAATAAGGATCGTAGTCTTTTCCACCTTGCTTGTAAGGATCGTAGTCTTTACCGCCTTGCT